CTTTTTTTCGCATAACTTCATGTACTCTTTCTTCTTTTATTTTTTTATGGGGCTTTTGGCTACTCTAACATTCCCCCTTCTGAAGATGTAACCCTAAAATCTTTTAAGGATTAGATAAAAGCTCCTAAATATTTTCAAAATTTTTGGCCTTTGGAAGGGAGTATGTTGCTAAGAGGCCCAAAGACGTTGTGAGTTTTAGCCAAGAAACTGGCTACTTTTCGTTGGGGTCTTTTTACCCTAACTGTATAGCTAATTCCCACCTCCTATTCTTATCACACCATCCTCTGAAGGGGCTACCCAAATTGCCAATAGGGAATAGGGACACAGACCACTCTGGATTCTTTGATGCTGAACAGGGACACGGGGTGAGACAACTGGAGTACCCCTTCAGTGGGTTTCTCTAAAAGACTCCCAAAGTACATAACTCTTATCTCTAAGGGGAAAAGAAAGTCCTTGAATCATGAACAGGAGCTGTGAAGCAGAAGTAAAGGCAAGAGTAATTAGCATTACAAGTTCTAGACAGGGAACTAGAAAAAGTCAGAAGAGGGCCATTTTCAAATGCTCATGTGAAAATCCATTGGAGTTTCTTGATAAGGGCTTCCAAAAGCATCCCTCTATTTCGTTCTTCCTCATTTTTCTTTTGTCTTCTATGACTGGACTAGTTGGCTTGGGACAGTGGCTGGACACTCAGGTGAGGGTCCAGTGACCCTGCTTGGCACTACTTTAATGAATGAGCACAACCATCAACAAGCCCAATTGTGACTATGTTTAGCGATCAGGCTCAGCCAAAGTCATGATGATGCGCCCAGCCGCCAGGGTTCGTGGGCGGGGCCTGGGCGGGGCGACCGCGCCTCCGTCTCTTGGACAGACCTGGGTCTTCTGTACTGCAAAGCTAGAGCCTATAGGAGGTCTGAGGGCGCGCCTCAGGAGTCCAGCTCGGAAAATCAGTGCCTGTGACTCCTCCAGGTCACACCTCCGCCTCTCCCCTGCTTTGACTTGGAGAGTGTCCTGGGTCTGATTCAGTTCCTAGTGATGCTTCCTTGAGAATGAACACCCGCTCCGTTTATTTTTGTATAGACCTAAACGTCTTAGAGGGGTAAGAGGAAGCCGCATACCCGGGCCCAGTTCTCGCTTTGCCACAGGAAGCACTTTGCCACAGGCTAGGAGAAAAGATCTGCAAAGCACATATGTGACAAAGGACTTGTGTTCAGATTGTTGAAAGAACTCACAAAATTCTATAGTAAATAGGAAGACAATTCTTTAGAAAAGACATGGCGAGCCTGACAGCTGGTTCAGTGGTTAAGAACACTCTTGAAGAGGACCTGGGTTTGGTTCCCAGCACCCACACAGTGGCTACCAACAATTCATAACTCTAGTTCCAGAGAATCCAAAACCCTATTCTGACCTCTGCAGGCACTGCACAACATGGATGCACCTGCATACATGCAGGCGATATACGCATAAAGTAAAACTAATAAATAAAATATTTTAGCGAAGACACGGACTGAAATTTCACTCAAAACGACCCAGAGATAAACACCTGGAAAAATATCTAGCAGAATTAGATTTTTGAAAACACCTATTAAAATCAAAACAAGACGTGGGTAGAATATGAAATAGGGGTAACATCAAACACTGCCCATGCAGAGAAGTCGAGGCACGCATGCATTGCTGATGTGAGTGTAAAACAGCAAGCGACTCTAGAGCAGAGAGTGGTGGGTTCTCACAGGAAACACACTGCTGAGATTGGGATCTGCAGGATCTCCAAAGGCCCATGAGGTAAAGGCTTGGTCCCCAGTGTGTGGTGCCCCTGAGAGTTAGTGGGATGTTTAAGAGGTAAGGCCTCATTGACGTAAGGTCACTGAAGACATGCCCTTGAAGGGTGAGGGGAATACGGTCTTTCATCTTTAGCTGCCCAGTCACCATGAGGTAAGCAGCTTGCTTCACCACATGGGTGTCTGTCTCATCATCACGACAGGGCCCAACAAGCATGGACTGACATCTCGATTTATGTGAGCCAAAATAAAGCTTTCCTTCCTGAATTAGTTCCTGCTCTGTTGCTGTGAGAGAGCACCATGACCGAAAGGGACTTAAGGAAAAAAGAATTTATTTCGACTTACGGTTCCAGAAGATAAGAGTCCATCATGGCTGGGGAGGCATGGCATCAGGCAGGCATGGTGGCTGGGGAGGAGGCTGAGAGCTCACATCTTCAACAGTAAAAATGAAGCAAAGAACATGAAGTTAAGTGGTTCCAGGATTTAATCTCTCAGAACCCTCCCCCAGTGGCATACTTCCTCCAGCAAGGCCACACCACCCTCAAGGTTCCAAGTCCTCCCCAAACAGTGCCATCAAGTGGGGCAAAGTGTTCAAATACTTGAGCCTATGGGGACATTTCTCATTCAAACCATAATTTCTCTTTTCTCATTACTGGGAATTGAATTCAGCACCACCACCACCCCATGCTAGGCAATTGCTCTACCACTGTGTTACACCTCTGATTGCCTATCCTCATTTTTTTACATTGTGTGTGTGTGTGTGTGTGTGTGTGTGTATGTACCACATGTGTGTCATGTGGAGGCCAGAAGAGGTTATCAGATCTGCTGGAACTGCAGTCATGGATGGTTGTGAGCCATCTAATATGGGTACGAGGAAAAGAACTCAGGTCCTCCGCAAAAGCAGCATGCACTTGTAACCACTGACCCACCCCTGCAGCACCTATCATCATTTTAAAATTTTTATTTATGGTGGGCATGGTGGCACATGCCTTTAATCCCAGAACTTGGGAGGCAGAAGCTGGCGGATCTTTGTGAGTTCAAGGCCAGCTTGGTCTATATAGTGAGTTCAGGTCAGCTGGG